AGGCCTTAAACTTTATTTTATTTTGTATATGTTTGTGTGTGTATACATGCATAAACTAGAACTGTGAAATTGGTATGTGTATATGTATACTGTGTATATATATATATATATATATATATACACACATATTGTTATTTATTTATTTACTTTTTCTGGTTGATTATTTGTTTGTGAATGTATTTAAGTGTTTGTTATAAGTTTGTGTTAACATAGCATGTTAGTGTTGTTGAATTTTGTTATGTAAATATAAAAGCAATAAATATAGCAAAAAAAAAAGTGTAAATATGAGAAGTGTAACCTCTCAACTTAACTTGTGTCATGAAAATTACAATGATAATAATTAGAAAAGGGATTTTAAAATGCTGTTTAACAGTTTTAAGCTAAGTCTCATGTCTCTGATGTCACTGTTGTGACCTATCAAGTGCCCCTATACAGTACTACTGTATATATAGAGTACAATTAGATATCCAATTGTAATTTAATATTTTGCAGCAATTGATCACGTTTGATCTTCCATAAATGCCACTCAATCGTACTGTACACATACACACACCAGTTATGATGCAATGTTTGTGTTATGCCAACAACAGTACCCAGGGGACTTATGATAATTTCTCACTTTTAATGACAGTGTGATTCTCAAAGGTGAGCAACTCTCACTGTTAAGTCATTCATCCAGGTTTATGAAACAGGGTTGCAGAGTGGTTTACTGTTACATCTCACATCAAATCAGCCTACCTTACTTGAACATGGACACATGATACAGTATTGGTAGTCATTAATTTAATAGCATAATAGACTCTCTTTATATTTAATTATATGACAAAACAGGGTTAAAAAATTTAATTACTTAAAATGTAAGAGATATTTGGTCATGAATCACAAACAACAACAACTATGCTTTTCTTCTGAAAAAGGAACATACAGACATTATTTCCATATCTGGGAACAACGTCAATTTACATATATTTTAAAAACCATTGTTGAGATATTGGTACAAATTATTTAAATTTGCTTACATCTAAAAAACTGAAGGCCCCATCAACATGCATATGATGGGCCAAATTAGATATTTTATGGTGTTCAAGAACATTTTTAAATAAGCAAACTATTTAATCATGTTTGGACTAACGGGTGTTAAAATGCATTACATTAAAATTGTCTTTGTTATTAAATCTTAGAAATGCGTATTTATTCATGTATACATCATGTATATATACATGTTATTATAATAAAAGTAAGACAATATTAATTCTGGATGAAAAAATATTAAATATTGTTTTTAAACCTTAACATGTGCAAAATATTTATTCATGCATAGACTAGGTATTTCATTAAAAGATAAAATAGTGTGGTAAAGGTGATATCATTTTATATTCATTCAAATGTCAAGGTGTGTGACTCACTGATGCCACAGATATAAGTGGATATGAGAATCTTAAAGGCCTTCTGAAAGCGGGGATAGAAAAAGCCATAGATCAAGGGGTTACAAGTGGAGTTAAAATATCCAAACCAAACCAAAGCATCAAAAACATCAACAGGAGTCACAAAATTAAGGAAAGGGTCAATAGCAGTGGCAGTAAAAAAAGGAAGCCAGCAGAGATAAAAAACACCCATGACAATGGCCAGAGTTTTAGCTGCTTTCCTCTCTCTCTGTGAAGATGTTTGGCAATTACCGCCTACAGTGGGGCCAACAGACACTTTCTCTGACAGGACTTTTGCATGTTTTTTCACAACATTGAAGATGCTCATGTATAGAGAGCTCATGATAGTTCCTGGAATCAGAAACACAAAAAGTGCACAAATTAAGCCCCATTCTTTGTTAAAAAACAAAACACAGCCACCAAAACAAGAAATCTGTAATATAAGTTCCTCCAAACCAACATTGTTTACCCCCGTAAACACAACAGAAAAGCTGTACACAAATGAAAACAGCCATGTGAAGGTAATAAATACAGTCACAGTGTTGTTTGTGACCCTCATTTTGTACCTCAGAGGGTCACAAATGGCCCAGTACCTGTCAATAGCAATTAAACTGAGATGCAATATGGAAGAGATGCTGAAAGTCATGTCCAAACTAGAATGCACTTTACAC